CTCCACCTGTCCCACCTAGGCCTCCACCTGCCACACCTAGGCCTCCATTCTTCCAGCTCAGGCCCTGCTTTTCCCCATCCTGGCCAAATCTGCTGGCTTCTACCAGTGCAGCCCAGTGGCACTAGGCATTAGCTCTGAACCAGGCACATGTGTTATTACCTCATCTGGCCCTTACGGCACACTTCAGGGGGCTGTTATTCTCCCATTTTATAGATGGGAAAATGAGGCCCAGTGAGATTCAATTACTGCTCAATGCACCCCGAAGCTGATCCTATTAATTTACCTGCTTTCTTACCATCATTTTCCACGACCCTGAGACCTAGAGCTAGGAAATGGTCTCCAACTCTAGTGGGAGTGGGGGGGGGCATCCAGCCCCACACCCCCTCGGGCCTTACCCCACCACCTCACCAGACCCATGACCTTTACGCACCCACCCATCCATCTACCCCATCACCCTCTCTTCTCTACCCGCCTCCGCTAGTGGTCCTCTCTTCTCGGTAAGTCCTGAACGCCCTGGTACCTGATGGGTTCTGTTGCTAACTCTGCCCACTGCTTCAGGCCTCAGTTTCCTTACCTCCACCATGGGGATCATGAACCCTACCTCCAGGGTGTCCATGAGGATTTGACCAAAAAATATTCTCTCCCTTCCCTCTCCTTCCCTTTTTCTTTCCCCCTCCTCAATAGCTCAGGCAGGGCATCCTGTGCAGGTGAGCTACCAGCTTCTTGAGGAAAGAGGTGTGTCCAATCCAGTTCTTCCCCTTATCAACCCAGTCCCAGTTATCAGAGGCAGATCTCGCTTTGCTTTTTAAGCATTTGCTGTACTTGAGCTGTTCTCTGTTGACATCACAACCCCCTCGGTTCCCTCTGCAAACAGAGAAGCCCTTTACAACCTCAGTCTCTGATGACCTCCAGAGGACAGGAGGAGTCTAGCTGGACAGGTTGGGGCTAGTCAGGGAGGTGTGCCCAAAATGTGTTAAACTACAATCAGGGCACAGTCAATTTCTAGGACTGAGGACACACCTGCATTCAGATGTCAGTGATGAGTTACATCCCAAAGCCAAATAGAAACGATGTGGGGATTGGCTACTGTTCCTGGTGATTCACGTCTTTAAATAAGAGTTGAATCGATTCACACTTGTGACTGCAAGTAATTCCTTAAAAATTACTTAAAAATAGTGAAATAGAAAGAGGCACAAAGAATAACAACACTCAGGTAGCTGTCTTCCAGCTTCAGACAGAAAATATTCTGACAACTAAATTAAATGTATGAGGTCCTTGCTTGGATTTTGGCTGGGGGAAAATAAAGCTACCAAGCTTGTTCTTGGGACCATTGGGAGAAATTTGATTATGCAACATATCTAGATAATAATATTGTATCGGCCGGGCACGGTGGCTCACGCCTGTAATCCCAGCACTTTGGGAGGCTGAGGCGGGTGGATCATCTCAGGTTAGGAGTTCAAGAACAGCCTGCCCAACATGGTGAAACCCCATCTCTACTAAAAATACAAAAATTAGCCGGGCATGTTGGTGCACACCTGTAATCCCAGCTACTTCGGAGGCTGAGGCAGGAGAATCACTTGAACCCAGGAGGTGGAGT